TTTCTCTTTTACTTTCCTTTTTAGTTTTATTTTAGGATTCTCTATTTTTAATGTTCATACAGAGATTTCTTTAACTGAAATACTGAATAGTTTCTTTGGTGTGAAAAACTATAATAGTACACAGGATCCTAATGAGACAATTAATAATGTAAAATAGGAAGTAAAGGGCTAAAGGTGTAAGGAAAGTGGGAAGGGTGGGGGGAAGGTAATAAGGGAGAGGAAAAAAATATGAGAAACTGAAAAAATGGAAATGAAGTGTTTGTAAATGGGGAGGGGAGGAGGGACAGGGACAAGGGGAAAAATGAGAATCAAGACCTATTATGTAAAGGTACAGAATCCCAATGATGAATGTAACTGTATTGTATACCTAGATTGTACCAATAACCTCAATAAAAAGGAAAAAAAAAAGAGCCAACTTTGGTTTCCAATGTAGATTTTGCTACAAGATGAAAAACTCTCCGACTACCTAGCTAGATTATTTCAGTCATTTGGTAGTTAGATTTCTCAGGGGAATTAATTAATCTGATGTTCAAGTTAAACAGTGTTTTCTGAGTTTGGTTATTGCAGATCAGCCTAATAATAATGAAACAAAATAAATTTTCACCTGTAGCATAAAGAGCTGAGAACCAAATTCTGAATTTTAGCACGAGTGTGGCTTCCACTTACTAAAAGAAAATTGCCTCGGTGCCACATGTGCTGAATGCACGTTGCTAGTGTGTGTCAGTGTTTCCACTCACTATAACTGGTAATAATATTAATAATAATTACAGCAATAACAATGGAGAATGTAATGTAATAAAATAGTCTATTAAGAAATTGAGTTGATCTTGTTTTAACTTGATTTTATGATTTGCTACTGCAGACAAATCAGGAAAGTATAAAAAAATAATATTCCCCTTCCCTCTGGGAATTTGCCAAGAGGTTGAGCTTCTAGGAGTTAGGGACCAAGATATTTCATGTGGGAAATCTACATTTGGGCTCTTAATTTTGTTGGAGGTTGAAAGGGAGAAACCAGGTAGATTCCTAGTGATTTGGAAAAGCACAGTTTTATTTTTTCCTCCGAGATAGGAAACCGAGCCTGCCTCCTGAGAAGGCAGAATCTTGTAAGGAAGCTGGGAAGCTGGCACAGTCTGAGCACTAAGGCTCAGGAGCCTCCAGGAGAACTCCCGGATTTCCAGGCGAAGTGGAGCTCCCGCAGAGCCAGCTTCGGTGGAAGGAACCCTGTCGCCCACCCCACCTCTCTTCTTCTGATGCCTCCCAGCAACTGCCCCACCTGGACAGACAGAGCTAGGGGGCACCGACTGGGACGACTGGGACACCGGCCTGAGAGTGACATCACGTGGCCATAAGGCACAACAGCAGCAGACCTGAAAAGCCTGAGGGACTGAGACGGTGGGAGCCTTGGGGTGCAACAGAACAATGTAGGGAATGGGAAGATAGCGACACAAATGATGATGGGTTTCCCACCAAGCATGGCAGGGGGTGCTTAACTCCTTCTAACTGAATCCATGAAAATAAAAACTGTCACACTACGTGTGCTCAAGTGCCAAGGAGTAATTCACACCTGTAGCTCTGGTCCCATTCCCAATCACTACCATCGTCATCTAAGTGCCCACCTCCCCAGTCATCATCTGAGTTCTTAATCTGTTTTCTTTTCCTGAGATCCCATCAGCAGAAGGCCTTTCTAGTTCCTACGCTTACTCGTTTTTACCTGATTTCTATGTTTGTTACCTATTCCCCCACAACCCGACTTTAACTTCATGAAGGCAGGGATCTTGTCTTCTCTATGTGCCACTGTATCCTCAGCTTTTAACATACGCCGGCATAAACAAGAGTTCAGTAAATGTCTTGAATGAGTGGGTAAATGAATCATATCCCTGAAATTTACGGAGCAGAAACTATGTTCCAAACACTTGCTAGGCAATTCCCTTGTGTCACTTAATTCTCAAAACAGCCCCAAAAGAGACTAATTCTAATAGGTAAAAGGATTCCATTTTGTAGATGAGCAAACTGAGGACCCTTGTCTAAACATAGAACTCATTTGTTTTACATGCACACAGGCTGAAGGTAATTTTAGACATTTTTAGTGCACCTGTGCTTTCACTGTGACACATCACGTGAGATGAAGGGTAGAATTTGTGCTGTCACTTCAGCACTCAAAAGGTTGGAGTTCCAAATTTTTGCATTAGGGATGCTCCGCCTCTAGTAGCATGACAAGCAGCAAATGCTACGGGACTTGAAGTCGACCCTGAAGAGCTTGAGTTTTGTTCTGAAGGTGATGGCAAGACACGGAAGGGTCTGACTCAGAAGAGAGATGTGGTTAGACAGGCAATTCGAATACCGGTCAGGTAAGAGGTAAGGCCTGAAACAGGGCAGTGGATAAATTGTAGAGCTCGAATCAATACAGTAATTGTGTCTAGGAGGAAGCGGTGAGTGTGTCCTGGAGCCAACAAGGACTCCCTGGTTTCTGGGCAGGTAACAGTGCCATTCACTGGTGAAGAGAGCAGGTGGGGGAGAAATTCTGAAACACAACCAGTAGGGCCTGTCACATAGTAGGTATTCCATAAATGTTAGTTTGAAATGAAACAATTAAAAGTTAGATTGCTACTTTTGGAGTACTTTTCAACTACACCTCAAGACAGTGGTCTGGGTGGTGCTTGGTGGCACAGGCCTGTAAGCCTGGCAATCTGGGAGGCTTTAGCAAGATCACAAGCTCAAGCCCGGGGGGGGGGGACAGCAATTTAGGAAGATCCCACCTCAAAATTTAATTTAATTTTTAAAAAATAAGATGTGGACATAGTGGTGCAAACCTGTCATCCCTGCACTTGGAAGGCTGAGGTAGGAGAACCACCAAAAGTTCACTGCCAGCCTGGGTTACATAGTGAGTTCAAGGCCAGCTGGAGACCCTGTCTCAAAAAACAAAAGCAATAAGAAAAAAAGGGAGGCGGGGGAGAAGCAAACCAAGCAAAGCTTCGATGTAGCTTACAGCAAAGGCCCTGGGTTAAATTCCTAATAGTAGGGCCTGGGGAAGACATTCGTCTGGGTGGAAGAAGCCGGGAGTCAACCAAAAAGCACCAAAAATAAAAAGAAGGCTGATTAAAGAATCTTGGAAACTCTAATTTTTCAAAGGTGGTAGAAGAAGAATGTGCACTAGAACCAAAAAACAAAAAAGGAAAGAAACAAAAAATGTTGTGACTGTGTGTCCCCGTAAGAAAGGTGTTCCAGAAGCAAGTGGACAGCAGGATGTTCCCTGTGACCGGGACTGAGGTCTAGAAGGCGGAGAGACCCCACCCACCCTCTTCAGCACCCTCTGCCTCGGCTCTCGCATATGGAGTCTGCATTAGACAAAATTACTTTATTGATGGGAAGCCAAGTAGGTGCGAGCTGCTGCCCCGTCAGAGCACACACGCTGAAAAAGCCAGGGAGGGCAGAGATGGGCAGTGTGTGCAGCATTTGCTCCTTATTAGGGCGTGAATGTTGCCTTCCGAAAAGAATTTATTTTGGGACAAGGCATAGGGACAGGCAGGCGGCAGCGCTGGCTCTCAGGCTGCACTCTCTGTTTGCAGTGGGGCTGCTTCCGCAGGCTCGGTTCTCCCGGGATCTTCCTCTGGGTCCTGTGGAGGCTCTGGCTGGGCCGCCGACTCCGGCGCAGGCTGGGCTTCTGGCTGGCCCTCTCGGCTCCTGCCAGGACCTAGGCGAGGCGGCTTGACGGGAGTGGGCGGGGGAGCTGTGGGGCCTTTCCGGCCCGAAAGAGCCCTTCGCAGGTTTTGCACCTTCTGCAAACCGGTGCGCCGCAGCCGCCGGGCCCGAGACTCCACTGGCTCCTCGTCTGAGCTCTCTCCAACTTCGACCTCCGGCTGCTCCGGGCCCAGCTCTGACTGGTCCGCCGGACCCAAAGGTTCAGGCGCCTTCTGGAAAGCTCTGGCTGGAATTTCAGCCTCCTCCTGCATGTGGCGACACAGCATTGACCCCGGGAGCCCCTTACCCTGGACTAGCCTGAGACTCACTCCTCGATGGCGCCGAGTGGGGCGCCCCCCTTTAGGCGCGGGAGGGGGGCCTGCGAGTGAACAACAGGAGTTTGGAAAGTAGGTGCGGCCCTGTTAGGGCGCGAGACGCGGGCATTGGCCTCGCGGGCAAGAAATGGAGGACGCAGAGAACTGTCTCGGAATGCACTTCCACCACCGCTATTCTCCTTCGGGATGGGCTGGGACTGGGACCAAGTTCTCCAGCGGAGTTGGCCAGGCGGGGCTCGGGCGTGTGGGGCAGGGAAGTGGGTGCGACCCTGGTAACTGTGCCACAGCTTCCGGCAGCGCCTAGGGTCGGAATGCGGCGTGGGAGGCGAGCGGGAGGGGGGAAGACCCAGGTGGTGGGCCTGAGACAGGAAAAGGCGCCTGGCTGGGGGTAGGGGGCGCCTGAGGTCACTGACCTTAAAGAGCAGGACGTGCAGCTTCCCGCGCGCCACCAGCAGCCCGT